GGGGTCCCGGCGGGGGGGCTCACGGCGTCCGGCCCCGCAGGCGAGCGGAGCTGCTTCCCGCGGCGCGAGTTCTCCTTCACGCTGCGCGACGACGTCTACCTGCGCTTCCAGTCCTTCGGCAGCCCGCAGGAGCTGGAGCGGGAGCTGCACAAGGTCAACCCCTACAAGATCGACATCGGCGCCGTGTACTCGCACCGCGTGAGTGCCGGAGGGCCGGGGGGGGCCGGGGGGGGCCGGTTCCCGGCGCGGGCTGAGCCCCCCGCCCGCAGCCCAGCCAGCACAGCGCGCTGCCGCTCGGCGCCTTCCAGCCGCGCGAGAAGGAGCTCGTCTTCGACATCGACATGAGCGACTACGACGACGTCCGCACGTGCTGCAGGTGGGGGGGGGCGGTGCTGGGGGCGGGGGGCGCGGTGCTGGGCCGCGGCGCCCGCTCGTCACCGCCGCTCTGCCGCCAGCGCCGCCGACATCTGCGCCAAGTGCTGGACCCTGATGACCGTCGCCGTGCGCGTCCTCGACCGGGCGCTCGTGGGTGAGAGCCCGCCGGCGGCAAGGGGGGATGCTGGGGGAGCACCGGGGGGGCGATGGGTGCAATGAGGGGTGGGCCTGGGGGTGTCACTGGGGGTGCAGTGGGCAAATGGAGGCCATGGGGGGGAGTGGATGCAACGAGGAGGCACCCAGGGTTGCGATGGGTAAATGGGTGCAATGGGGGGGTCCTGAGGGTGCAGTGAGCTGGAGGGTGCAATGTAGGGATCCTGGGGTGCAGTAGGGGTGCAATGGAGGGGTGCTGGGGGTGTAATTAGGGTAAAGGAGTGCAATGGGGGTTTTGGGGGGTGCAATGGGGGTCCTGGGGGTGCAATGAGAAGAGCTTGGGGGTGCAACAAGGGGAGCGATGGACAAGTGGGTGCAAGGGGAGGGATCCTGGGGTGCAATAGGGGGGCTATAGGGGGCATATCCAGAGGGTGCCGTGGTTGGCGGGTGCAAAGGGGGGCCCCCGGGGACGCAGCGGGGGCCGGACCGGGCGCTCTCCGCAGAGGACCTGGGCGTGAAGCACCGGCTCTGGGTGTACTCGGGCCGCCGGGGCGTCCACTGCTGGGTGTGCGACGAGGCCGTGCGCCGGTGGTCGCCGGCGCTGCGCGGCGCCGCCGCCGAGTACCTCTCGCTCGTGAAGGTGGGCGCCGCGCCGGGGGCACAGGGCCGTCCCCCCCGGCGCCGCCTCACCGCCCCCGTGCCCCCAGGGCGGCCCCGACACCGTGAAGAAGGTGACGCTGACGGAGCCCGTGCACCCCTTCATCAGGTGGGTGGTGGGGGGGCACGGGGGGGGCCCGGCGGGCCGCGCTGAGCCCCCGCGCCCGCAGGCGCTCCGTGGCCGTGCTGGAGCGCTACTTCGCCGCCTACGCGCTGGAGGGCCAGGACGTGCTGGGCAGCCGCGAGGGCTGGGAGAAGGTGCTGGCGCTGGTGCCCGACGATATCCTTGCCAGGGCGGCGGGGGCGGGCCGGGGGGGCCGCTGCGGGGGCCGGGGGGGCCGCTGCGGCGTGCGGATCGGCCTTAACGGCCGGCACAGCACCGGGAGCCGCTGCGCGCCGACTTCGCCGCCAAGAAGGACTCGGCCCAGCGCTGGGAGCTGCTGCGCGCCAGGATGGAGCGGACGCGGGTGAGCGCCGGGGGTGGCACGACGGGGCTGTGGGGACACCGGCGGGCCGCGGTGACCACCCCCCCGCCCCCCCGCAGGCGGGCAAGGGCGCCCCGTGCTACGCGGACTGGGAGATCATGCTGCAGTTCTGCTTCCCCCGGCTCGACGTCAACGTCAGCAAGGGCCTGGGCCACCTGCTCAAGAGCCCCTTCAGCGTCCACCCCAAAACTGGTGGGTCCCGCAGCCCCCCCCCGTGCCCCACAGCGCCCCCCAAGCACCCCCCAACCGCCAGCACGTCCCCGCTGCGCAGGGCGCGTCTCGGTGCCGCTCGACTTGCAGAGGCTGGAGCAGTTCGACCCGTTTGCCGTCCCCACCATCAGGTAGGGGCAGCTCGCGGGGGTGCAGCGGGGGGGGCACTGCACTCCCCCCCCCCAAATCCACCCCTCCCTGCGCAGCTCCCTGTGCCAGGAGCTGGATGAGGCCGGAGAGACGGGGGAGGGCGGCGCGGGCGAGCCCCGGCGGCGGGGTGAG